ATAGAAGCAATAATCAACATATCAAATATTCAAATTATACGTGAATTTGTTAAGCTACCAACTCAATTTTGATGGATTGGTTGCCAAAATTTATATGTAAGAAATCAGTTGATTGTAAAGTAAAATCGACTCATGTCCTAACTCCTAATCGTACCATGTTTGTTGTACAACTAGTTACAGATTCTTTACTACACAAATGAACTACAGTCTAAGCACCAAGCGAACCATGTCTTATGTAATAACACGTAAACAACGCATTGGACATATGCGACGAATCCAACCCGAAAAAATATTTGCATGAAAATCAAACTTGAATTATTACACGTTGCGCCCAAAAAATTGAAGCTAAAAGTTTCAAAACATATTTTTACATCCCAAAACTCCTAAAATCAAAATATTAATACTAAATAGTCTAATTAGTCAACTTTCACTTAATTTTATTAAGTGAACTAAATTATTATTCATCAATGTAAAGTATTTTGGACATTTTAATATTAATATCTTAATCTTGGGACCTCTAAGTTCAAAGAATAGTTTTTGGGATCTTATGGGATGTCCATTTTTTAAATTAAGGTTTTATTTAGTATTTTTCCAATAATTTTATAACAAAACATTTTTTCTAATTTATAGGTAGATAAATTCAAAGAAAATAAAAATTAAAGATTTTAATTGGAATTTCAGTTTCTAAAAAATGTAAGTTACACTACATATCACAAGTTGGAATAACTAAACCTCAATTAAGAAAATCTGTTAATTCACAAAAAAATCAAAAGATTCCGTCAAATCCTGAGCCCTATTAAACAAGTTCCCCCAAAAATCATCGCAAATCCCCGTATTTAAATCGGAAGCAAACGATTCCGCAAATTGAAGCTGATCGGAATCACCATTGCCGGCGGCGGAAATATCACTGCTGCTAGCACTCCAATCGCTCTCCGAGAAAACCTCCGACCAGAAGCTTTCCCCCATTTCCGTCAAACTGTCCAACGAATCCGTCAGCATGTTGAAGTCGAACTCGCCGGAGCCGCCGGACACGGCGGCGGAGGCGGAGGCGGAGGCGGAGGTTACCGATGAGATTTCGCTCGACGAATTCACCGGCGAACACGGATCCTGATTCTCCGCCGAATGCTTCTCCGCTTTCAGATCCGACTCAGACGAGTCGGTGCTCTGAGTTTTCGTCTCCGATTTCATCATCTTCTTCTTCTTCAAGTGTGTGTGCCACACGTTTTTGATTTCGTTGTCTGTGCGGCCTGGTAATTTTGATGCAATCACACACCATCTGCAAAAGAACAAATCAGATTAATCACAAATGTCAGGCTCAGAAGTTTTGATTTTCCCCCCTTCCAATTCAAAAAAATTCTTCTTAAAAAAAAAATCCACATACTTATTTCCCAACTCGGCGTGCAATTTGATGATAATCTCCTCCTCCTCCGCCGTGAAATTCCCTCTCTTAATATCCGGCCGCAAGTAATTCACCCACCGGAGCCGGCAACTCTTTCCGCACCTCAAAAGCCCTAATATATACCCAAACCAAAAAAATAAAAAATTAATTTCTCAATGCCATTGTCAATTAACTCAATTATTACTTGAAGAAATTATCTGTAGTTTCGATAGAGATTGAATTAGTACCGGCGCGTTTGGGAAGAGCACGCCAATTGGAATGGCCGTTCTGATTGATGTATTTGATGAGAATCTGATCTTCTTCATCTGTCCATGGCCCTTTCTTCAACCCCATTTTCTCACAGCACGGAGCCCTCCCCATTTTCTCTCTCTCTCTAAAAACTAAGAGTGATGCTTTTTTTTTTTTTTTTTTGTGTGTGTGTGTCTGTGTGATTTGTTATGGTAACTGAGTCGACTCACTCTGCTTCAGTCTGGAATGAAAGGTGGAAGAGATGATTGAAAGGTGCCAATGACCCAATGGCTATATATATTTGAATTTTGGGATTAAATTAAGTAGTGGGCCATTTATTAAAGTCCAAAAAATTGAATAATTTATTTTATTCTTTAGTTAATGGGCAAATGACCGTCACCCTACGAGGTATGGGCAAATTACGAAAAAAAACTCTTATTGTTTGAGTAATAACAGCCACCATCCTTTTAATTATTTTTACATAAAATTTATATAATTCGGTTATTTATCGAACCAAATCGTATATTTAGATCGGTAAACGGTATGAAATGTTGACGTACCAAAATTTCGATTCGATTTTCCAAAATTAACTGAAAGGAACTTTTGGTAAGATAATACATAATTGAAAGGATGACTATAATTATCAAAACAAGAGAAGGTTTCGTAATTTGACAATAACTCAGGGTGGCCGTAATTTGTCCTTTGTTAATTAATATATGAAAACAAAGAGAAAAATAAATAATAAAATAAAATTGAAATTCATGCAGGGACGAAGCCCTGAGGTTCGTGGAAAGTGATGTGATTGGGCGGAATGGTCAAATAACACGTGCGGTATATATATATATTGCATGTGGGTGTGGAGAAAGTATTTAGTACGCGTATACGTATACTTGTACAAGTATTAATATTATATTATTATTCTATACACTGAGCTGAATTTTAAAAAAATGAAGTTATTTTCGACGTCATCTACGTTTGAATGGATGTTTTGACTGCTGAAATGTTGACTTTTTTCATAAATGAAAAAAGTCAATTATTTATTAGTGTATTCGGAATATTGTGAAGTTGTCTATTTTGTAGCCATGAAATTAACCATTTTTAAATGCGTTATTGTGAAATGTTGGAAAGTAAACGAATTTTTATATAATTATTATTGGCTATTTGCGCTTGATGTACGTTCAGCGTGTTTAACGTGGACTCTTAGCACAAGTCAAAGTGTTCAAGAACCCGAGCCACGCACAAAAGGAATTGAAAACGGATTGATTCGTCTTTGAATTCGCTCGACCGGTTCAACCTGTTTTTTCAATTTTTATTTTATAATTACTTGTACATATATTTTTTTCATAAATGTTAACTTATTATTCATTTTCAATTAAAATATAAATCAGACTTAATTTTCTTTTACATGCACAACATATCAACACGCATGTCACACTAAATCATTTCAAATATTATAAAAATTATAATAAAAATAACATTTCTTCCAATTTCAATTTTTTTTTCTTTCTTTCAATTAAACAGTAAAATGACATTTTTTTTCTTCCATTTTATTTGTTTATTTTTATATATTAAAAAAAGCACAATTTTGGGGAAAGAAATCCAACTTGCACTCAGGTTTTGATATTACGATTTAACTGGACTGAATAAGGCAATAGTTCGCAGTTTAAACGATTCAACCGGCCTATCCGGTGCGAGTTTAAAAAAAAAATGAAAATAATCATTTTCTAAAAGGAAAAAGGAACATTTTTTTAACGTGGAAAATCAAACACATTATTGTAGGCATTTACGAGTATTTTGCAATGACTATGTTCGGGTACTAGGTACGACCTTTTTCTTTCGTGAAACATATGTGAAAACAATTTTACATATCATTTTGTTTTTTTACCAAAAAAAGCATACGAGCTGTACATTCTTAAAATATAGTCTTTTGACTCTGATTGAAAGAGCAAAATACTATTAATTAATTTTTATTATTATTATTATTATTACTATTATTATTATTATTATTATTATTTTTTTTTATTATTTTTTTTTTTTTTGTGTTGTGGAAAGTGCCAAAATAATATATCTTTCATATAAAAGAAAGAAACGCTAGACAACCCTAAAAATTCCTAATGGTATTCAATAATTAATTATTTTTACTGAAATGTTAAATGTCGCTTCAATTTTACTAATACTGTTTTGACTTCGAACCTGTTTTTGATATATTTCTATTTTGATTTTGGCAAAATTCGAAACACGAAAACTCTAGTCCTTTGGGTTAGCTTTCTAATCCAACTTAAATCCGCTAGATTGGATTAGGGGTGGGAACGAGCCGAGCTCGGCTCTTTTGGCCAGCTCGAGCTCGAGCTCGAGTCCATGTTCCCGAGCTCGAGCTCATCGAGCCAGTTTTTTTTGGCTCGAGCTCGAGCTCGAGCTCAGGCTTAAATTAATTTTTTTTATTTATTTTTATTTTTTTTTTTTATAATTATTATTTAATTTTTTTATTAAAATCATTTTATTTTTTATTAAAAATTATTCATAGAAAAATAAAAAAAAATTATAAAATAAATAATGAACTCTAGTTATATATATTTTTTATTTTTTCTATTATTATTATTATTATTATTATTATTATTATTATTATTATTATTATTATTATTATTATTATTATTATTATTATTATTATTATTATTATTATTATTATTATTATTATTATTATTATTATTATAATAATATTTTATATTATTATGAATTATTTAAGTAATATAGATTTGTTTCTATTTATATAGTAGATATATTTATTATTATAGACTATTTACTATTTAGTTAATAATAAGAATAAGAATAAGAATAAAATATATATATATATATATATATATATATATATATATATATATATATATATGTAAAAAATAAAAAAAATAAAAAAATAGAAGGCAGCTCGCGAGCCGGCTCGCGAGCTGACGAACAACTAATTTTGAGCTCGAGCTCGAGCTCGAGCTCGAAAAACCCGAGCTCGAGTTCGAGCTTTTTTCGAGCCGGCTCGTTTACCACCCCTAGAGAGGATGCCGTGTAGCAAAATTATGCATGAATGAGTCACATTTTGAATTTTAGATACCTAAATACAACAAAGTTGTGGGCAATTTCCATTAATTCAAGTACATCTTTCTCGTCCGACACCCAATTTTGGTGATTCAAGTTGGATTAGAAAACTAACTCAGAATACTACAAATTCTAATTTTCGGGTTTTGCAAAATTTGGAATTAAAAATGATCAAAATCACGTTTGAAATCGAAACGGCATTATTAAAGCTCGAACGACATTTATCACATCCCTTATTTTTAATATTTTTTCTCTACTAATTTCTAACTATATTTTTTAACAATATGAAAATTGAAACTAAATCGTGAAGAATCCTATCCTAATTGTACTTCTATAATTATTTATTTTTAATATTTTTTTTTCTACTAATTTTCTTATTATAATTTTCAACAATTATCAATCTCCTATTTTTTATCGATATATCTCAAATCTTAAGAGATAAAGATAGAAATTCGATTTGCTAAATCTTAATCTATATATTTGGATTATAAATCTTAATATATAAGATTTAAAAAAACTAATATTATATAGAATATGAATAATACATTATTAAATTTTACTATGTTAGTGATATTTTCTTATTATGTATAAAATTGATTTTTTTTTTTACTTTTTAAATAATATCTCGTGCAACGCACGGGGAAAAAATGCTAGTTTCAAGAATGCAAAGTGAAATTAAATCGAAACATATTATAGTCTTAGATTCTACAAATAATTCAAAGCTAAGTAACAAGAATATTCATTAATACAAAAAAAATATTTATGTAAAATATAATGTCCATTTTCCTGCAAAAAATATGAAAATAAAACTAATAAAGAACACCAAGAGGTGTACACATAATTTGATTAATCTCATTCAACAATTTGTGAAAACCAAGAAATGGTAGCCAAATCATAGAGAGTGTGAACATATTGAACTTTTCAATTTCAATATAATATATATTTCCTAATTTGGAATATTAGCCCATACATTCACTAAGAATTAAAAAGGGTCAAACAAAGAGGCTAAAATCCCACATTTGGTCAATCACTAATTATTATTCCCTTGAAAAAGTAGCTTCATGCAACTTGACACCATATTATACATTGCCACTTCTTTTCCAAAGAAACCGTCGTTACATGATATTTGTTCTATACAACACTCGATGAATTTTACCATATTATACAGAACTCAGATGAATTTTATCGGATTATATCATAGGATAGGGATGTGTAAATTCAATACATCATTATGGGTATTATCGTGTGCAGATCAAAAGTAAAAAAAAATAACTCAGTAAAATTCATCGGGTGTAATATACAATAGAACATAGTAACACATGGGTGTAAGTTAATGTACCAAATTGAAATTAGCATTTTATTTCTTTTGAAACATACCGATTTCAATTATGTGAATTTTTTTGAAACAAATTAAATAAAAAAATCGGAATATTAATACGAAATTTTGTGAAAATTGATTTTTTTGGGGTCAAAATCGATGGACTAATACATTTCATTTTTTATTTACATATATGCTATAAATACATAATAATATAATAGTATCAACTTTGAAATGTGTCAATTGCATTTGAGTTCACAATTTCACAAAAAATGAAAAAAAAAGGCCTCGTACTTGTAAAATTGATTTGGCCTTGGAACTTCATTAAAGTGGTGTTACAAAGTTATTGTAAAATTAAAATTGGGGGGGAAAAAGGGATAATAGTTGAAGTAGCTCTTTTATTTTTTACGGGTGTTTTTTCAACCTAATTAATTTCAAAATATTGTAAAGAAACAAGATATTTTCTTTGACGGCGAACTTGCTCGTAAATGTCAAACAACGACTCATGAACAAATTTGATATATGTATGTGGGCCCAAGAACACATCGAGGGCCTTAATCCTCGATTGACATTGTCTCAGTGTGCGCTCTAAAATAATTATCATTTAGACACTATTAATTAATTTATTATAACAAATAGAATATATTATAATTAATCATACTAAATTAACACACATTATCTAATGTATTTGTCCCATCTAAATATAGTTATGTAGCTTATATGTGACTTGAAACAAGGTATCAAGTCAAAAAACTCTGGACCATCTCCTTATTGACATAAATGCCCCCCGAAAACCCTGCTTTTTGTACCTTCGGGTGGATCCACTCGAAGTTAGTGCAGTAACTTCAGGTGTAGTCAAAA